TGGCAATATAGACACAAAAATGCAGCTGTTCCAAGGAATTACCTTGTTCAGCCAAATCTCTCACCTCGATTAGAATTTAGAGATTTATAATTTCAAAACTAATGCAGATAAGATGAGTTTAACCTAAATGAACTGATGATTTTTAAAGCAGAGACCACTAATAACTTACCCAGTATAACGTCAATTCTCATGTTACTCCAGTTGAAATTAAAATAAAAAGTTCTCCAAAAAATTCCAATGCAAATTAGTAATAATATAATAGGCTTCTTAATCCTACGAGTCCACCCAACCCTAATCATCTAAGCCACAGGCAGAAATATGCCTCTTAAGCTTTAACCAAACTATTAAACTCCAAACACTTCAGATCTCTCTCTATCATAAGGAAGGAAGTTCTCGTATGCTACGCACAGTACAGCTTGTGCAGCCTCTGTGAGTATTATATGCAGCACTTGCCATACCAAGCTGGCACTTCCGACCCAGCCAGAGCCTTCACTACGGAAGCAAAGCTTCCCTTACAGCACAATCTTCAATGCTGAAAGGTACTCATGTCAAGCCTGGAATAAGCCATGCCCACAAACAAAGAAAGTACAAAAAAAAAAGAGTAGATATATGGATATGACCTTAATAATAGTATCATAATGATTCCATCCGACCTCGGAAGAAAGCCGGCCCAGTAAACAGTGCTTATGCCCCGGCTGCAGCCTGAAAACCCTGGAAGAAGACCATGAAAAGAGAGGACGTCAACCAAGAACCCTAAGAGTAAAACATCGGCTGCAAGCCTCAAAACCCTAGAAGAAGACCATGAAAAGAAAGGACATCAACCAAGAACCCTAAGATTAAAAGTATCTGAACCGGTTTCCAACCAGAACAAGACAAAATGCTATACTTGAGAGCCTATGGAACAACCACCATCCTCTTGATCTTGTCGTAGGGAGGCGGTGTCAGGATGGAGGAACAAGGAAAAAACTTTCTGTTACTTATTTACTTTCTGTTACTTATTTTATAAACTACGGTCCGTCCTATTTATAGGACCTAGTAACAATCACCCTATAACTACTAGATTGAGGTAGTTAACTACTAGATTGAGGTAGTTAACTACTAGATGATGATTGAGATGGTTATTGAAATCATCATGATAACTATCTTCTCAACACTCCCCTTGATCCGTAACCGTAACTTGTTTATCCGTAACCGTCACTTGTTTATCCGTGCTCCCAAGTTTAATTCTTCTTAATTGATTTCCTCTTTTATTACTTTTCTTCATTCCTTTTTTAAGAGCTTCCTCAAAAGTTATTAGATCTGAAATAAACAAAACAAATGTTGAGTTATAAATTTCTATTAGTGATCTGAACTTGTTAGAGCAGGATCTGTCATTTGATTCTACGAAGTGTCTAGTTCTGCTGAAATCTGCATTTGTGTTTCATCTTTATTGGTCTCCCAATTCCAACTTGCCCTTTCATCAAACATAACATTTCTATTAATAATAACTTTGCCACTAACAAGGTTATATAATCGATATACTTTCGATTGTAAAGAATAACCAATTAAGATGCATTTTTCAGATTTTTCATCAAGCTTGTGATGATTTTGTGAATTCACCAAGCATAAGCAATACAACAAAAAATTCTTAGATGTCTAACATTTGGTTTCATACCATACCAAGCCTCAAAAGGAGTTCAATTCATAACAACCTTTGTTGGTGAAATATTCAACAAATAAACTGTTGTTGCAACTAACTCTGCCCAAAACTGATTTGGAAGATGTTTTCCTTTAAGCAAATTCTTGCCATTTCAATGATAGTCTGATTTTTACATTCAGCTACACCATTTTGCTCCGGTGTATATGGTGCTGTCAATTCTCTATGAATACCATTTTCTTCACAAAAAGAACTAAACTCATTAGATAAAAATTCACCATCTCTATCTGTCCGAAGTGTCTTTATATATCTACCACTTTGCCTTTCTATAAGTGCCTTAAACTTTCAAAAATTATCAAATGTTTCAGATTTCAATTTCAAAAAATATACCCAACTCATGCAACTATAATCATCCGTAAACAATAAAAAATATCGACTTCCACTAAATGATTTTATATTCATAGGTCCACGTAAGTCAGCATGAATTAATTTAAGACAATTAGATGCTCTCCATGCTTTTCCAATAGGAAATAATTTTTTACTTTGTTTCCTATAAATACATCATTCACATACATCAAGTGTATTAATCTTGGGCAATCCGAAAATCATTCATTTTTTACTTAACAACCTTAAACCTTTAATGTTAAGGTGTCAATATCTTAAATGCCATAAACTAGACTCATTCTTTTGAGTTGTGATAAGCGCATGCCTTTCAATATTTGACACATCAAGTGGAAACATCTTCTTTTGTGTCATGCAAACATTTACTATAATCAAACCAAATTTTTTATCTCTAATAGTGCATGAACCATTATCAAATATTACTGAATATCCATCATCTACTAATTGTCCAACACTCAACAAGTTATGTGATAAAGTAGGAACAAAGAAAACATTATCAAGGTATTTTACCTTCCCTTGATTTGTCTTTTGTTCATTTTCCTTCCACTTGGATTTGCTTGCTATCTCCAAGTCTAACTTTCAACTTGTGAGTTTCATCAATATCTCTAAATATTGATTTTATGCCTGACATATGATTAGAACATCCATTATCCAGAAACCAAATATCATTTGAGATATTATGAACTTATGAATGAGTCATAAATAACTTACTATTTTCTTCATTTTTCTTCACATAGCTTGCTTACTTTTCTCTTTTCCAGCAATCTGCCTTCATGTGACCAAACTTTTTACAATAGTGACATTGAATTCAACTCTTGTAATTTTTTTGATCATAATTTGATTGCCCTTGTTCTTCATGCCCATCAAAGTGTCCTCTTCCTCTTCCATTTTCTCTACCATGAAATCCTCCTCTGCCACGTCCTCTTCCTATTGATTTTTTATCTTCTTTTGAATTAGAAGACTCCCCCTTAACCTGAAATACTTTTTCTTCATTTTTTTCAAGTGACCTATTCAACCTTACTTCATATGCTTGCAAGGAACCCATTAGTTCATCAAATGAATAAGTAGATAGATCTTTTGATTCCTCAATTGCAGTAACAACATGATCAAATTTCGGAGTTAAATTTCTCAAAACTTTTACAACAATTATATGATCAGAAAGATGTTCACTATAAGATTTCATTTGACTAACAATTTCAGTCACTCGAGAAAGAAAATCTTGCACCGATTCATTGCTTTTCATGAATAAAATTTCAAACTCATGATGGAGGGTTTGAAGTTTTACCGTAATCACCCTTGATGAGCCTTGAAATTCATTTTGAAGTATCAACCAAGCTTGCTTTGAGGTTGTCGCTGCTGCAATTCTTAAGAAGATCGTCTCATGTACAGCTTGTTGAATGAAGAACAATGCCTTTGAGTCCTTCTTTCTATTCTCCCTCAGCTTGATTTCATCATCTGGATCTGCATATTCATTCTCTATTAAGTCCCAAAGATCTTGAGACTTGAATAGAGTCTTCATCTTGATACTCCAAAATTCATAGCTTTTGCCCGAGAAGATGGGGATAAGGGGTTGAGACATAGAATTACCATTGAAAGCCATAATGCCCAGTTCAGATTGAAACTAAGCTCTGATATCACAAATGTTAGGGATGGAGGAGCAAGGAAAAAATAGAATAAAAATACCAAATGCACACAGACTCTTTCTCTCTGTTACTTACTTCATAAATTACGGTCCTATTTATAGGACCTAGTGACAACCACCCTATAACCATTAAATCATGATAACTATCTAGATAGATAACTATGAATCAAATCTCAACAAGCGACAACCCCTCGTAGGCCTCATAGGCCTTGAGCCAGGATGACGGCCCCAAGCTTAGTCTCGTGAGGAATCATTCTGCAACCAAGAAAGGAGCAGATCAAATGAGCAGTTCCACCACCACCACCAGACCACACCGATGACAACCGGGAAGTGTTTTGGACAGACATACCCTCGGATGGTACGCCAAAGGATCTTGGCGGGGGCGCGGAAGTGGATGGGACCATGAGAGGGCTTGGTGTTCATAAGCTTGCGTAGGAAGCGGAGGTACTTCATCTTCTGGCGGTCGAGCCCACCGGAGAGGCACATATCCTCGCAGCGGACAACCGCGACCCGCTGCCCGTTGAGCAGTTCCTTCGCCAAGATCGACGCCAACCGCCCCAGCATGTGGTGGCGCGGGTCCACCACCACCCACCGCGCACAGACCACCGACCTCGAGACCATGGCAACTGCGACCAGCGACCTCTCCCCTCTCCGCCCTCTTCCGCGGTCGCCGATGACTCCCCGCGCTCGTGGCACGCGGACGGGTTCGCTTTTATACGGTCGGCGGCGGGTAGCGTTTCCTTTGGAGAGGAAGTGGCATGTTGGGCCATCACGTGAATTGGGTGCGGCCATGGGATTTTTGAGGCCCGTTTGGTACGAAATATATTCACACGGTGGAAGTGTGAAAACGGATCGGATATTGGTGAAAACGTACCCGTATCCACTTTTAGAAAGCGGATGCAGATGCGGATGTTGAAGATAAAATAGTTTGACTATGGAAGACTGCCATCCCATAGAATAGGAAGTCAGCTTATTACCCATTTCTGTGAGTTATTTTATTATTATTATTATTATTATTATTATTATTATTATTATTATTATTATTATTATTATTATTATTAATTATATTACTATTTATTTGTTG